TGCATTTTGCAGTGCATGACTGACGAGCCGGCTGACAGTCTATTTGTTTCGCCGGTTTGCCAAAGTGTCATTGTTACACGAGTTGTGTTAGTTGCATTAGACTTTAGCCCGACGTCAGACGACGACGAAGCTTTACACACACACACAGAATTGCGATAAAGATTTGATGAAAAAGAAAATGGAAAATACTTCCTCAATTTATTTTTACTCTGTCGCTTTGCGAAGTGTAATGAATTTATTGCCTGTCATGAAGTAGTAGTAGAATCAGCCAGCCGAACGCAGAGCAGTGTTTTGAGTATTTTCGAAGACGACATGAGGATACATAATTTGGTTCTTAGTTGGATGTTAAAGTCATGTGGAGATTAGGGATCTAAGGTACATATGTGATTTTTGGAAGGGAGACCAAGAGGAATGTTTGTTTATTATACCCTCAGCCATATGGCCTCAGAGGGTATATATCATTTGATACGGTCATTTGATACGGTAGACCCTAGGTCTCTTTGGACCATATCCGTTTCAGAACATTTGGAGTCTATCTACCGATGTCCATCCGTCCGTCTGTCTGGCTGGCTGGTGCGCACGATAACTCTCGAAGGGAGTATCCGATTTGATCCAAACTTGGTACATCGTAATATTTTTCTTAAACTTAGATCGAGTCTGGAGATGGGCAACATCGGTCCACTCCTTCTGGTATCTCCCCCACAAAATGTCAAAATTTTCAAAGAGAATAATTTATTGCACAGCAAGAGAAAGAATAATCCGATTTTGCTCGAACTTTGCGAATCCTAATATTTTCATCAGTGCTACTTCATGTGCGAAAATGAACAATATCGGTCCACTCCTTCAAGTACCTCCCCCACAAAGGGTCAAAATTTTGAATAATTAAAACTCTAATAAAATGTGATGTAAGATTCCGATAGTCTTCAAATTTCACACATCCCAATAATTTTATTAGCCCAAGGTCTGGTGTGAAAATGGAATGTATCGGTCCACTCCTTCTGGTACCTCCCCCACAAAAGGTCGAAATTTTGAAAATATATATTTTTTGCACAGAAAGTGAAAGGATAATCCAATTTCGCTCGAACTTTACACATCTTAATATTTGCGTCAGTGTTAGGTTAGGTGTGAAAATGGACGATATCGGTCCACCCCATCAAGTACCTCCCCCACAAATGGTCAAAATTTTGCATAATTACAACTCTCATAAAATGTGATGTAAGATTCCGGTTGTCTTCAAATTTCACATATCCCAATATTTATATTTATCCAATGTCTGGTTTGAAGATGCAATATATCGGTCCACTCCTTCTGATACCTGCCCCACAAATGGTTGAAATTTTCAAAAAATACATATTTTTTGAAATAGAAAGAAAAACTATAATCCGATTTTGCACCAACTTTGCATATCTTAATATTTGCGTCAGTGTTAGGTCTGGTGGGAAAATTGAGAATATCGGTCCGCTGCTTATGTTACCTACCTCACAGATGCTCAAAATTTTGAATATCAAAATATTTTTAAATTATCGAACATTGGCTGAAGGTATACATCTGTCGGCAAAAACTGACCGATACTTTTTTACTTGTTTTCTTGAAAAAAAAAGGTATAGTTTAGGATTCAGACACAGAAAGTAGAGAATTTACTGTCTAGAAACAATATTCGTTTTGGCAGGCAACCAGAGTTGGTCTTCTCATAGAAGACCAGAGAAGGTTTTCTCATAGAAGACGAGAAGGTGTGCATAGCGGGGCAGGAGGTTTTCTCATAGAAAAATTCTCTATGGGAAACTATTCCAACTCATGTACCCACTTTAGACGCTAATGGTATATAAAGCTCACAACTATAAAAAAACTATATAGTTTTTTTATTTTTTTTTTTTTGCTACATAAACACACATATCTACATACATATTGTATGTATATATTTTAAGAATATCTAAATATATAGTTTACAGTCATACGACCATGTGTATGCATGTCTCACTGTATGTACGTGGTTTCTTACATACTTTCTCGTATTTAGTTTTTTTGTTTCTATTTATTTATTTGTTGTAGTTTTTATTTTATTTCAAGAAATGTGTACGTCTTTTAATTCAATTGTTTTCCTTAGATCTTTGGGCACAGACGCACACACACACCGAAGTGCGGGAACGAAAAACAAACAAATTAACAAAAATTGGAAATAGAAGATGAAATTTGTAATAAAAAAGACCGTGTTTTAAATTTTCATAGTTTCCAATTGAAATAGATGTGTTTAAATGCAAAACAAATAAACATATTCGATTTATCGATATCAACAAATTTTGGGGTTTTCTATGAATTTGAGTTTGGCAAGGAATGTGTCCAATCAATAAATGATGATGATGAGAAAAGTGTGTGAAGTAATAAATTTTAGATTTTAGACATTTCCATGAATTCCAAGAATAGAAATGTTCTATTTTTATTTTAAAAACATAGAAGGGACAGTAAATCTCGCAAATAGGCTAGCTGACGAAATTGGAATTTTGGGAATTTGCAAATTTCGAGCAGAGATTGTAATACGGAAAATGTAATTGCATAAGTAAAAATAAATAAATTTATTCAATTCAGGTTCATTGTCCTTTCCCTAAATGACGCCAAACGAACGGTCCGTCTTAAATTTAGCTTGATTCCAAAGTAATTTATTTATTTATCTAAAAATAAATCCATACCTTCAAGATTTGTGGATGGCGCCCAACGAAGAGTTCTTTCTTAATTTGGATTAATTTCAGACCCCTGTAACGTAATTTCTTTTATGAGATCCATTTTCTTAAATGCCTACCTATGAGACGTACTCATTGGTATTCTCAACGGATGTCCTCTATTCGAAATACCCACTTAGCTTAAATTATTTGAGAGCCTCTCGTTGGGCGCCACCAAACGAAACTCTTTTACTGTTGCATTGGAAGTTTATATCATTAACATGCTTGGGCGCCATTAAAAAATCTTAAATAAATTTCAAATTGGATACCATTCTACCAATATTCAACCAATCTTTTCTGTTGGGACCGATTTTATCCAATTTTAATGTCTTTAGACGTCATCAAATTAGGACCCCCAAAGTATCTTGAATTATCTGAGAGTTCATCTAAACAAATCTTTAACGTAAACTTTTGCTATTCTATTGTTGTTTTATGTTTTACTATTATAGTTGGGAGCGATTAAAAAAACCTTAAAAACCCCACGTTGGGCGCCATATAAATAATTTCGAATTTGTTTACCATAACCCAATAACATTCAAGCAATCTGTTTTTTTTTTTCAATTTATTTTATTCGGGTTCGTTAACCTTACTACATCTATTTCTTGAATGGCGCCCAACGAAGGGTTCATCTTCAATGTAGTTTGATTTCCATGTCATTTGTTTAAAGTAAATCCTAAAAGTAATTCCATTCTTTCAAAATTTGTGAGTGGCGCCCAACGATTAATTTGGATTAATTTCTGACTCTTGCAACATAATTTTATGTATGAGATTTATTCTCTTAAATGGCTCCCAATGAGATTTAAACATTTATTCTCAATTGATGTCCGCTATTTGAAATACCCACTTATAATACCCACGTTGGGCGCCATCAAAGCAACCCGTTTACTACTTCATGGGAAGTTTATAGCTTTAGCATCCTTGGGCGCCATTAAAAAATCTTAAATAATTGATGTGCATTATTAAAGGAACGCCTTCGTTGGGGCCTCAATTATCTAAGAGCCCCACGTTGGTCGCCATTCACATAATTTTAAGGCATACAATTTTATCATTTATTGAATTATGTCTATTTGAGAACGATCCAATTAAATCTCCACAATGGGCGCCATATACCATGTGTCATTATCTTCTGGGTAAAATTAACCAAATTGAGACACTAACGCCGGCCATTCAGCAGATCACACTTATTGTCCACCTATTTCTGTCATATCACTTGACACTGGGCGCCATTCAATTAGTATTTAATGAAATCTGTTATTGCTTTTGATAAGCAATGATTTAAGGTCAAATTATATTTGACCCCAGGTTGGGCGCCATTAAATTAAATGTTGAGTAAAACTCTGACCATTTAGGTGATCCTGCATTATTCACACTTATTTCCTTGTTATCCTTTATTAATAAACCTTCATCTAATCCTTTTAACTATCCTTTCTGGTGAAAAAAATTACTTTAGAAAAAAAATCCATTTCTTTTTGAAAATTTCCGTTTTTTATACCCTCCATCTTGAAAAGGAGGGTATATTAACTTTGTCATCCCGTTTGTAACATCCTTACATATTCGTCGTAGACCCCATAAAGTATATAGTATATTCATAATCAGCATAAAATTCTAAGTCGGTTTAATGATGTCCGTCTGTCTGTCTGTCTGTCGGTTGAAATCACGATACAGCCCACACTATTTGACGTAGAGCGCCAAAATTTAGCAGAGCAATTGGTATTGTGTTTAGGATGGTTGGTATTGAAAATGAGATATATCGGTCCACGTTCTGGTATAGTCCCCATATAACGGTACCTCCCGATATTCGGTAATTTGACGATTTTTGCCACATTTTTTTCACGTATTTGTCTGAAAATTGGTATTTGTGGGTCATAATGGGTCCTAGTTCGTGTGGCGAGTCATTGTAATTATTGGTCCACGTTTTGGTATAGCCCCCATGTAACGGTACCTCCCGATATTCGGTAATTTGACGATTTTTGCCACATTTTTTTCACGTATTTGTCTGAAAATTGGTATTTGTAGGTCATAATGGGTTCTAGCTCCGTTGGCGAAACATTGCATGTGTAGGTCCACGATTTGGTATAGCCCCCATACAACGATACCTCCCGATATTCGGCATTTTAATGGTTTTTGCCACATTTCTTCTAATGTTTCCTTTACCCTAAGGTGGTATTAAAAGTATTGAAAGTTTGGCCCGGCTAATTTTTTAATTTTTTCAAACTCTTCAACAAATCTTCCGCGCTTTTTCACCCCTAAAAATATTTTTTGAAAACAAACAAATCGCCCACTTACCTGTCAGAAGATTCCGAGGAATCATAACGGTCGGTGCAGCGTTTCTTTTTGGCATTAGTGTTGTTGTTGTTGCTGCTGCCGTTGTTGTTGTGATGCGGTAATGTTAAATCAGTTGCACCCGAGGCAGCTACTAATCCGGATGAGTGCCTTGCAACAGCTGTTGAGGCAGGTGATGATGCTGTCGCTGATGAGGGTGATGGAGATGCCACCAAGCCACCAGCTACGGCTAATGATGAACCAGTCTTTTGTTGTTGCTGCTGCTGTTGAGTGGCTAGTAAAGATAATGGTGTTGGTGGCGGCGGTGGTGGTGGCTGAGATCTTTTAAGAGATCTTAAGGTTGTGGTTAAATCCTTGGACGTAGGTGTTGTGGTATTGGATTTTAGTGAATATTTCCCACTGGCGGCACGTTTGCCATCCGTTTTTATGGAATTGGGTGAGGCAAATATTGCGGGTGTTTGAAATTCAGGCTTTGGTTTTGTGGGTGATGGCGGCGGTGGGGCCAATATTTTGTTGGCGCAATTCTCTTCGACTTTCGACTCTTCGGTGTTACGCGTGATTGTGAGATTATGCAGCGGCGTTTTATTGACACAATTATGATCGACACTGTTCTTGAGTTGATCGAATAGCGATAGTTCGCTATTCGGAGACTTAGTTTCTGTTTTTGTTTCCTCTTTGGGGGGTGGCATCATCAACACTTCCGCGTTAGATGACATTTTGTGGGCGGTAGTTTTCTCGCGTCGTTTGTTTTGTGTGGGTGTGTGTTTTTAAGGAATTTTCAAGATGTTTAGGATTTACATTTTTTAAGCAGAATTCTTTCAGTTTTTTTCTTGTTGGGCCCAGCAGTGTTTTTTTGAAAATTGTTTTAAGATTTTGCTTTAAAAGCAACAAAAAGTGTTAGCCTTCAAGGAATAGGGGCTAAAAGGTGCTTATGGTTTTTTCAAAAAGGTTTAATTGTTCTTAAATGTTTATTGTGGTTGTTCAAAGTATTCAATTGCCGTTTTCCTTGGTGATTTGACATTCCAGTACATTATTGGATTTGACTAAGTTTAAAAGGGAATCAAAGCGATTCCTTTTTTTCTCTTTCAGATTCAAAACTCTTGCACAAAATCTTAGTTGTTTTGCAATCGCTTAACGTTTAAATTATTGCAAAAAAAATAAATAAATGTTCAATTTATCTGCCAATTGTCTTTAACTCGGTTTTTGGTTGAATTTGAATTCTTCTCTAGTCTAAGAAAATTTCAAGTTTGCCATTTTGTTTTTTTTTCTGTTTTCTGTTTTGAGTTAACCCAATTCTTTTGTTTCTATGCTTTTTGGAAAAAAAAACACTTTCAACTTGAAAATTCTTTAGTGTTCTTTTTTTCGGCGTTTTATTCGATTTGACTTTCCTTGGAGTTTCGTTTTACAAAAATGTTGAAATATTTTTCGTTTAGATTTGCAGTTTTCAGTGAAGTTTTTTTTTTATTCTGGTAGGGGGGCACGAGGCAGAACCTGCAATTTGCCTAACGTCAGCTTTTATTTCCGGTGACCAAAAATTAGCAGTCTTTTGGTCGGGGTTTTTGTTTTCAGGCCAAGTGAAGTTAATTTGAGGTTGCGGTTAATGGTGAATGAATGGTGGTATCGTAGCGACTCAAATCTCGTCGAATTGAGCTGAGGTTCGTTGCATACAAAGGCTGGGTATGACTGCAAGCAAGCTAGCTAGCTGGCTGGCTGGTTGGCTTGGCTGACTTGGATGAATGCTTGCCGAATGTTGTGGTAGAAAATTATGCGTTTTTCTTGTTGTTGTTGTTGGCTGGGGAAGTTAGTCGAAAAAATTGCTCACGAACAATATTTCGTAACCGGTTTCAAATGCTGCTGCTTGAATTTCTGCTATTTAAAACAATTTTGTTTCACACAATACAATAACAACAACAAAAAACAAAAACTTAATTATAAATGCACTTTTATTATTTATTAGCCTGGTTGTTGTTGTTTGCACCATCAATCACAAGCCAAACAAAAATTTAAATGATACTTGGTTTTCCGTTTCCTTCTAATTTTTCAAAATTTATTTCGAAAAAAAAACAAAATTTAAAACATTATTTTCTCTATTCGCTTTGTGCTCACTTTTGATTGATTTTGTTTTGTTTTGCTTTCTGGTTTCCACACTTTGATATTTTAATTCTCTTTTCATTTGTTGTGTTTTGTATTCTTCTGATGCTTCTTCTTCTCTTTATTTTTCTGCTGCTTTTATTTCGCTTAAATGGCGAGCAGCAACAGCGGCAGCAGGCAGTAGTTTTATTTTATGTGCGTTTTAATCACTTTTAATTATCAGCAATTTAAATGAAATTCTCACGCTGACAAACATACACACAAACCTATATATGAACACACCTACATACATACGTACAAATATTTACGTACATAGGCCGTGTTGGGTACAAAAACGGAAAAATCACTTTTTTCACACGCACTCAATTTTTGTTTTCTTTAATTTCTTTCTTAGATTTTTTTTGGCGCTCTTTGCTTCCTCCACGTTTTCTTTTATTTAATCTTATTCTTTTATTATTATTTTTTTAATCTGTAAATTTGTAAAAGAAAAATTATTTATTTATCGCTTAATTAAACAACACAAATCAGGCACTACGGCAACAACAAACTTTTAGCTTCTAGCATATCTGTCTTGCTGTTCGCATGGCCGTCCGTCTGTCGCTTGGTTTGACACCAAGTTTGTTTGTAGTACAAACTTTGTACGTTCATTCGTTCGTTTGTTTGTTTGTATATAACGCGCACTCTATCTCCACCTCCTCGAAACGAAACGAACTATCTCTGTATCTGTTGTCGGGCACACGCTGCTGCTTTTCCACAATCGCACACAAAACTCATTCCCACTTGGAACTTGCGAATGCTTAACAAAGACTAAAATTGTTGTTAAAGCCGAAATGCCGATGGAGCCACTGGTCGTAGCACTCATCGGTCGGTCGGTTGCTCGTATATCGTGGTCGTCGTTGTCGTCGTTTTTTTCATACATTCGCATTTGCCAGCATTCGTGTTTTTTGGCCCCAACATCGTTTTTTTGCATAAACAAACGATGCAAAGAGCGTTGGGGGGAGAGTGGGGAGACGACACCACTCTTTAACTCATGAGAGCCAAGTGGCTTCGTTTTGAAATGGGTTTCTCAAGAGAATTTCGTTTAACCAAAGATGGGAGTGTGCAAACAAGTGGTTTAAGTAACTCTTTGCTAAAAGATTATAAAGATAGTCACATAAGCAGAATAACCCATTACAAAGTAATCTAAACAAGAAACATTGAACATTACATGTAGATTGAAAAATACTGAGGATTGACTTTCGTTCCATGAAAACATAAAATATGAAATATTTTCTTTTGACATTTTTTACATTTTCCATTTTTAAGGCCATGGTCGATTTCTTGAAGAAAAAGACAAATAAAAAAGCTGGAAATTTTCAAAAAAAAAAAAAAAATAAATAAATAAACTTAAAAAATTCTGTTAAAATGTTAAAAATGTCGAATGTAGCTATTATATTAGGGTCTATATACGACGACGTGGACATGCATAGGCAACTATTGTCGTAAACCATTACAATACTCAAATGCAAAACTTGAATGAAAAATTCGATGAATAATGAAGCTAAAATCATCAAAATCGAGAGGTACCGTTATATGGAGGCTATACCAAAATGTGTACCTACACAGACAACATTATGTCATAGGATGTAGTATTCAATACGAACTTCAAATACCAAATTTGAAACAATTCAGGTGAATAATGTTGCTAAATTCATCAAAATACCGAATATCGGGAGGTACCGTTGGGGGCTATACCAAAACGTGGACCTGCATGGCCCATTTTCAATACCAAAAGCCCTGAAGACATACTACTGAATTTCGTTCGCAAGCTAGAGTGATTTCCACATACGGACGGACATCGCTAAATGATCAATACTTTGTGGGATCTAAAATGTATATTTCGAGGTGTTACAAACGGAATGACAAACTTAATGTATTCTCCATACTATGGTGGAGGGTATAAAAATAGTGAAGATTGACTCTTGTTCTATGAATGATGTAAGTGTCCGATTGTCTTCAGATTACACACATCACATATTTTTATTAACCAAAGCTCTGGTGCGAAGATGGAATATATCGATCTACTCCTTCTGGTACCTCACTCACAAAGGGTCAATACATAGAATATTCATGAAGTTCATCAATCATGAAATTAACAATCGATTCCATTCAGACTTGGCAAATCTCAATATTTTAATCAACACAAGAACTGTTATAAAGATGGTAGAGATCGAACCATTCCTTCTGGTACCTCTCCCACAAAGGGTTACAATTTTGAATAACCAAAATGGTCAAAAAATCCGATATAAGCATTCGGTTCTCTTCAAATTATCACATCACAATAGTTTTACTAGCCCAATGTCTGGTGTGAAGATGGGATATGTCGGTCTACTCCTTCTGGTATCTCCCCTACAAAGGGTCAACATTTTGTTTATCCATGAAGCTCATAAAACACGAAATGATCATCCGATTCCATTCAAACTTGGCACATCTCAATATTTCTATCAACACATGATCTGTTATAAAGATGGTAGAGATCGTACCACTTCTTCTGGAACCTCCCCCACATAGGGTTCAAGATTTTGAAAAACAAAATGGTCAAAGAAAGCGAAATAGGCATCCAACTCTTTTGAATTTTCTCACATCCAAATGTTTTTGGTAACACAAGATCTGTTGTGAAGATGATATACATCTGCAAACCGCTTCTGTTACCTCACCCACAAAACGTCATAATTTTCAATACATATACCTGTCATAGCTTGCGAAACAAGTCGGCGATTCTTTACAACATGTTATATCTAAATATTTCACCGGACCAGAAATCTGATATGGATGATATGGCATTTATCGGAATTTATGATTTCGTAAAAAAATAAGTAATATTAATATTTTTATCTACATTAGATTAAGGAAGCATCAATCGTTTGAATAATAATGACTCAAGGCTGGGGTACACATCGGTCGGAAAAACCGACTGATACTATTTTACTTGTTATCACCTAATTTTTATTTAAGAGTGGGTAAAACTGCAATTTCATTTCGATATAAATATCCAACTTTTAGTATACTAAACTTTTTAAAACTTTCACCTTTTCAATTAATTTTATAAATTTCTAGCATTTCCCATTACCGCAACAAAACATTCGTTTTCAAGTCAAACGTTATTCTTTGTATTTTACTTTCCAACCCTGCAACAAATGATGCATTCTCGTTTTTTTATCTTTGTTGTTGTTGTTTTCTTTGTTATTGTTCAATTTTTTCCTCCCATTCAGATCATGAGATTGAGAATCACTCGGCAATTGGGTAAGTGGAGCAAGGGGATTTGTGACAATGAACAATCGTGTTGTTACTTCTTCGCAGAGTACTACTCATGGCTTCGTAGCAAAAGCAAAAAACACGAATGGAATTGAGAGCATTGATTGTTGGGTACAATCGTACATTTGGGGAGGCCAAAACACGAGTGTCAACATGTTGTAGTTGTTATTGCTGTAATTACAATTGCATTTAATGTTCAGAGATAACCACTGCAACGGAGATCAATTGGGCAAAAAAAAAAAGTTGTTCTCCACTTCTCTCCTAAGCTCTCTTTGGATTTGTTTGTTTGAGAATTGCTAAGATAGTATTTGTTGTGAGTTCTAGCAGTTGGTCTCATTAATTATCAAAGTGTAGTATTTGAGAATTCATGCTCACAACACTGGCGGACGTGCAAAACTTTGCACTTTTTGCAATTTGTGTTGTTGTTTTAAGAAAACGAAACAAAAACACTTCCCCATTCTTCCCTTATCATGAAAAGTCAAAACAATTTAACAGCCTATGGCAGTAATCAATGGATCGTGGATTGTAGAGAATTATAGTCA